AGTGTGAAAATACATTATGGAGTTTTTATATTAGCATTATAAGTAAGAGATTTAAGTGAAAATGAAGCCCTATATATGTTTATAGATGGGTTAAGCCATAGGTGAAGAAAAAACTTCAACGTAGAGGCGTGCAAGACCTCACGCAAGTCATAGTAGTGGTCAATGGTCTAATTAAGTTCCATTCATCTTGACCCAAGAAAAAAAGCAATGGTGAAGGAGAAAAGGACAATGGGTAGAGGAAAAGGCCAAGGAGAATTCGCCACCATCAGACTAAAGTTATTGCTAAAGGGATCTGTAAACAAAGGTAGCCTACCAAATGTTTCTTGTGAAATGAAGTACATAGAATAGGGGACTGTCCCAAATGTATCAAGTTCATGGCTATCCTATTGATTGGGGAGGATCTAGGAAACGAGAATGGCAATTGACTTGTAAAAGGACCTGGGGCACAATCACAATTGAAGCGCTTAATGTCGTGCAAGGAAAATGAAACCTATCAAGTAGCCCACACAACTCGAGACAAGGGCTGATTTAGTGGTGGAGTGCACCACCATTTGTTCTTAAGGGAGCCTAGGAGCACTTTGAGATTGGGCAACATTGTGTTGCACTAAAGAGAGTAGCAACAAGTGACAACAGTGTTGTATGGTTCGGGAGAGATCAAGATTAATGGCAATGGGACTGCCACAATTATGAGCTAGAAGGGTTAAGAAACCTAAGGCATGAACGCAGAATCATTGAGATCAGCCAAGCACTCATGTGACTAAGGAGTCAAGGCAATGTTAGACTAATTTGTAAGCAAGTACTAAGGGAGATAACACATTTTAGTGAATTGTGAAAAAGATAAGACTGTTAAAACAATGATAATTGAGGGATGAACATGCGACAAGACAATGTGTGATATTAAGGTGTTCGAGTCAAAAACACTTGAAAATAGAACATAGAATGAAGGAACCTAAGGCAAGAGTGCATAAAGCGAGGTTGTTAGAGGCAAAGGAATGGGAAGAGATGGCATGTGACGTCGTAGTGCACGGCATAGAGATGCCTATCTCCTAATAACGAGGGCATTATTGAATTCTATGGGGAAAGATGTCACGATTTAGCAGTTTGCAATCTAATAGGTTAGGTAGGCTAGTAGCCTAAGCAAACCAATTGCCCAACAACCTAATAAGTTAACCTATTAGCCTGACAAACAAAAAGCCTAATCCGTTTACATGCCAAAGATAGAATTATTTGTTCACTCTTTTGAAAAATGTAGATAAGCTTATTTATTTGAAATTTAAATGTAAATAAAATGATGTGTATAGGGCGAACATTCAAATTTGAATGCCTTAGCAATTTATTTTAAATTTGAATTTTTGGAAAGCTAGATAAGAGGGCTAGCTATGCTTATAAATATCCCTTATTTTCATTTGTACAGCACACCAAGTTTGAGAATAGACACTTATTTCTTTATAGTTTCTTCTATTTTTACTCTCATTTGCGCTACTTTGTTACTTCAAAACCTTTGTGTTCTTGGCTGGTTTTGTTATTTTCAAGGCTGACTTGAGCTCGGTGAGGGGTGTATTTTAGAGCTCAAGGCTGGAAAGGGTTAAGTTAAAAGCTTGACAAATGAAATCAACAAATGAATAAAGAAGTTAAGCCTTTTTAGCTCAAATTCTTAATCTTTTACTCACTCGCTTTTATTCATTTTGTTAGAATACCAAAACATAACATGATATTAAAGATTAAAAGATCTTAAAGGAATGAAAGGAATAAAGAAAACCAGAAAGAAAAGTTTCCTTTCAAGCCTTAAACACATATCCTTGCTTGTTACCTTAAAAAAAACTCAAATATAAGTTATGGGTTCAAATAGTTTTGCAACCCTTATTATATCTAGTGTTTACAAGAGAGAATTACCTTATATGTGTTGCAAAATGAAGGCATATTTGATAACCTTTGACATATGGGAGGTTATGGAGATTGGTAGAGAGCCACCAGTCTTGAGAGTAAATCCCACCATAACTCAAATAAAGCAACATAGTGAAGAAGTTGCAAAAGGCTTTAAGACACTGTCATACATACATTTAATAGTGACGGATGTTATTTTTCACAAGGATAATGTCATTTGAAACACAAAAGAGACTTGGGATAAAATTAAAAAAGGTTCTAAGGTTGTTACAAAATAAGGAAAAATCAAGTTCTCAACCTTTTGACGAAATTTGAAGTCCTCAAGATGCAAGACAGAAACTTTCAACAAGTAAAATGATAGAATCATGACGATAGTAAACCAGTTGAGGTTGGTTGGTGAAGACTTACTTTAAAAGGGAGTGGTAGAGAATGTCTTTGTTAGCTTGCAAGAAAAGTTTAATTAAAAAATTTCATCTTTGGAGGACTCAAAAGATTTGTAAAAGCTTAAATTAACAGAAGTTCAAGCTTTAGAATACTGGAAAGCTATCAATCAAAATAAAGTAGTTGAGGGAGCTTTTCAAGAATCTCAAGCAATAATGGAAGAAGGAAGTAAGTTGGTGAAAAAAAGGATAAAGAGAAGAAAGCAATGGACTATAAATGAGGAAGCCAAATAGGGAGATATGCGCCTTGCGCTCACTACAAGAAGAGGAATCAAATTCAAAGCTTCTATTGATTCAGGCTTGTTGTGAAGTGTAGAGCATGCAATCAGCTAGGCCATGTGGAAAATGTTGCGAAAAACAAAGCAAACCAACAAGGGCAACAAACACAAGTCAGAATAGCAAAATATTAAGCTGATGAGCAACTATTGCTGGCTTCATGTTATGCTACAAATAGCAACAACAAGGTCTGGCTGATTGCTAGTGGTTATACCAATAACATGACACACAATGATGGAATCTTTAATGAACTGGACAGGTCTTAAATCTCCCAAGTCAAAATTGGGAATGGTGACTATGTAGATGGGAGAGGAAAGAACATTGTTGCAGTGTAAACCCTTTTGGTATTGAATTCATCGCTAATGTTCTTTTTGTTTCCAAAAGCAATCTAAATTTGTTAAGTGTTGGACGCATGTCAGGACAAAAACCATGCTTTACTTTTTAGGGGTGAGTCTTGCATTGGGCATGAGCCAACTGGCAACGATTTGTTTTTTACTCAGCCAAGAAAATAGTATAATAAAAAAAAATCAAAGAGAGCACAATATGAGTGAGAAAAAATCGCTCAGACTAACAACAAAAATACTTTGAAACAAAAGGCAACAACAAAAACTAGCTAGAAATGAAAAACATCATAACAAAGAACAAAAGTTTTCCTTTAGAAAGAAAACAAGTAAATATGCATGCGTACTTTAAGGATGTGGATGAATCTTTTATATGGCATAAGAGGTTAGGACACTTTGATTCAACCTTGAGGTATATATCCTTTTTATTTTACTTTCTTTTCTGCAACTTACCATCAACATACACTTCATTTTTTAAGAGAGATTTATTAACTTGCAAGCTTGAATAAGGAAGAATGAGAACCACTCACTATCATTGTGCAAAATTAAGATGCGGCAAAAGTTTCTTTTGTCTTATTCTTTCAATTTATATTATTATTTATATTTGTTTACTTTTTTCATTTTTATTTTATTTGCTCATATGTTCTAAGGTTTTTATATTTTTTTTCCAAATTTCTATGAACCGCTAACCAAGTTCTTATTCTTTCTTTTGTTATTATGTGGGTTTTATCTTCCACTTGTCATATTATTTTTTTGTTATGTAGATTTTATTTTCTATGATTTTAGTATTTAAAAATTAAAAATTATTGTATAATTCTCAAATATAAGTTGTAGTGTTGCACTGTTATTTAAAATTTAATCAATATATCATTTTTCATTAATCCTGATAATATAAGAGAAAATTATCTTGAGTATTTAGTCTTTAAACAATCTTAATTATGTAAGAGAAAATTATTAATCTTGTATATCGTAGTTAACTATTTATATTTTATTTATTATAGTTTATATTTAGTATTATAAGTTTAAATAGAAATAAAATAAGAATATTGGATGTGATTGCATTAAATTTTTTTTTCATGTTTGATTAAAGTATGAGTAAGTTAAAAACAATTGACAAATTTTTTAAAGAAAAATATGCAAATCATCCAAATGATTTTCCTACCGCTTGACTCACTAAGACTTAATACTTCAACTCAAGAATAAGAGCAATGTGAATTAAACGTCCAAGACTTAATCTTAAAGAAATTGATACTTTTTAGTATAAAGTCAATAATTGATGAATTTGAATTCAGGAATCGTTGAACACAGTTTTACTAAATGATTATTGTAAGTCTTTCTTTTCTTGATTTACATGTTATGTAAAATTATTATTTATTATAAATTTTTTGATTGTTACTTAAATTCAATATATTAATTTTTAAAACTTTTGTCTTTATTCTTTTATCTTTGATCTCTAACAAAAATTGACTATCTTCGCCCTTACAGTTGTGAATTATATATGCTTAATGAACTGTTCCTTATCATTATTGTTCCATACACTTGTGAATCTCACTCAAGTGTATGATTTGTATATGTGCTTTTTTCCTTTCCACTTGGCTCAAAGATAAATCTACTAAATGCTCAAGTTGTCTTGGTGTGCACCCGTCTCAGGTGGACAAGAAATGACAAGTGATGCTTACATCTCTTAACTCTCCCCAAGATAAGATGTTTTTAGGTGTAAATGTGGATTATACTCAACTTACATTTTGTCTTATCCTTACCTTTCCTTACACTTTTGAATACCATTATGTGTTTGAATGTAAAACCTTCAAGTTAGAAGTTTCTAATTGTTGAATAACTAATTTATGAACTTTAAAACTTTAAATAGTTGTTTACCCAACAGAAGTATAAGAAAATTATTATCTTAAAGAATAGAGTTACATTTGATGAGGATACAACGTGGTTTTAATTGATAAATATTTCAGTAATTCTTTAATTGCTAAAAGGATATCGCCCCACTTACACTCAGCTAAATTTGAAAAATGAAATGCAAGGAAGAATGACCCTCATAAATTAATATTTACTGATGTAAAAGCTCAAGAGCTCTTAGCAAAGTGGGTCTGAACCTATTCACATCAAGGTTGACATTCTGATTATCCAAATACACTGCCTTGAATGCCAACCAACCTTGTTTCCAAATGGGGGATGGATTGTTTAAAACCTCATGCTCTGGTGGAAATTGTTGTATCAAGGTACTCTCTTCCGTTTTAATCTTGTAATCTAAGTACCGTATGTTCATGTCCTTGGAAGGCTCTCCAAAAGCAGTTCTGGCCGGCCATTCCACCCCTCCAATGGGAATTATTTGAATCAAAATGGCATTCTCAGGTAGAAAAACCATGTTGGTTAGGCCAGCTCCGTGAACTCCCATCATAACATCACAAGAATTCACGATTTCTGCAAACCTTGGTACATTCGTGGCCTCCGCTACAACTACATCGTAGCCCAAGTTTCTAGCCATTCTGGCAATTTCTTCTGTATTCGTGAACGTTCTTGTTCTGCTCCTTGAGACAATGAGAAGCCGAGGTCTTGTCTTTCCATCATCCTCCATCTTGATCGCGGTAGACTTGTTTAAGGAGTACGCGCTTCTCAAAAACTGCATGAAGTTTTTCATTGAATATGGTGATTTTGAAGGATCAATACTCAGCTCGTGAGGGCTACGTTTGAGACCAACAATCACACTTGTGAAACAGTGGATGCTTTCTTCATTATCAATGTCGATAACGTCGTAATTAGACAGCTTATGTAGTATGATTTGGAACTTCTTAATCCACCATGGATTTCTGTCTGTGATAAGAAACTTGACTTCACCATCAAACAGCCGAGCAGTCGAATACAGCGGAATAATGATGTCACTGAAGTCATGGTAGTTGTTTCCCGAATATCCGCCAAGGGAGAAGAGAACGGCCGGAACTCCATGATTTTGATTGCATTGAAGGGTCGCGTTGTTATCCACCGCAGGTTTGACGGTCCATTTCTTCACCGTACTCATTGCATGTTCGTCTTCTTTTCGAGTATAAGGCCTGATAACCCATGAGCTGTTTTCTTCCAGGATGCTTTCTTGGGGTGAAGCAGAGAAAAGAACAGTCGAGGATTTTGCATCAATCCTTATATCACCAGTGATCTCACAGAAGTCTGATCGTTTTTCTGAATTGCACACTAACTTCATTCTCTTCGGAACGGAATTCAAACCTTGAAAAACCAATGCCAAAATCATACTAGTTAGTAAGAATTAATAGTAATGGTCACCATCACCTAATCAGGCTAATCCTAATTGTCTTGAAAAAGAAAAAAAAAAAGAAAAGGGAAATTGGGAACTCACGAACTGATTTTGGATCCGTGTAAGGCTTGAAAACAAGGCAGAAGCTCAATGCAATGAGCAAGCAACCAAGGAATGCACCATATCCAAGCTTCTTCTGGTCAGATCGACTAAAGCTTCTAGCAAATATTGTGTCATACATAATTTTCTCACCCATCCTTCTTCCCACTCAATGTCAAGTGCTAAACTGATTTGATTAAAGGATGCAGATACAAGGAACCCAAGATTATTCTTTTAACTTTGAAGAGTAGTTCAATTAAACCCTTTCGTTAGGCAGTCCAAACAGACAACAACCGAAGTTTAGAAAACAAATAATTAATTATTCTAATTAAGACAACTATATTGAAGGAGGTTGGGCGGGATTTTTCTTTGATTAATTGCTTCCCCAGTTATCTGTAGCTTTGGGTTTTCTAATTGTATGGGAGGGGTGTGAAAAGAACCATGTTGACTGCTATGACAAACATACATCTCAATGATTAGTTTGGTGATTTTCTAACATATGATAAGAATAGATATACACTCCACCTCTGGCTTCGGTAGGTGATGAGATATGTCGCAATGTAATTACAAATCTCATAATGTGTCGATACTTACCTCGAACTAATGAGTCATTGCAGAATTTCCTTGCATCACCGCTTTAACAAACATAAGTAATACAATCATACAATGGATCCAGGTATTAATTAAGAGGCATCCAAGTATCGATCTGTGGTTTTGTAGAATGAGACATCTCAACAATGTGTCTTCCTCATTTGTTATTTTGTTGGGAAGGCTGAATTTTATAACGTAAAAAGGATCCACGTGTTTGCATTGAACAATGTATTCTTCATTTATATATATATATATATATGTTGTTGTAGATGCATGGACTGATGGACACACTCTAAAAGGAGGAGTTGTTAAGGGATTGTTTTCACAATAATACAACCACCCTTGGATTCGCACCTCCTTAATTAGATAAATAATATTTACTTTAATATTCTGATTTCTCTTTCTCACCTCCTTTCTTTATGTATAGCATCATGTCAAGTGGACTAAGTTTTGAGATTAATATAATAAATTCTTTCCAAGAATTGACTACAAATGTTATGTGGGCCTATAAATATTAAAATCAGTTAATTAACCTCATTTAAAGTTTAAGAATTGAGAGGGAAAAAAAGAAGAAGCTTAAACAATTGGCGATTCAAAAGAAAAAGGAGGACAACATGCTTGTAATTGATGGGTCGGAAAGATAGTGATTGTAAGGTACTTATAGCAGAAATTGTTTTTCAGTTAGGTATAAACTTTTAAAAAATCTTTGAATTATTTTTAAAAAATTAAATAAAATTTTATTTTTTATTTAATCTAATCAAATTTTTATATTTTTATTATAAATCAAGTAGTTTCATATAATTAATAATTGATTAACTGTTACTAGTTAAAAAGCTATTTTTCATTTTTACACTCATGTTGCACTGACGTAGTGTTAAGGTAGAGAGTGAAAAGTGTCATGTTGCAAATCATTGTGATATATATGTTAATATGTCACATTAACATTGCATGACATAAAATAATATGTGACATTTTTAGTAATGATAGTTAATTAATTATTAATCATAAAGACATATATAGTTGAAAAAAATATAAGAACTTGATTAAGGGTAATAAAATAATTACAGTTTATTTAATTTTTTTAATAATTCATGAACTTTTTAAGTATTATCCCATTTAGTTATCAACTAATTAAGTATTGGCAATTTTTAGCAACAATCATCTATTTTTCTTTTGGTAAAGAATAGTAGCTTTTGCTTTTCGCTTAACTACTTGGAAAATGTTTGGACTTTTGTCCTAGAGTTTATTTAATTTTCCATTAATGGGTCTTGCAAGATATGAAAGTGAAGGCAACTTAATTTGTGAAAAAGAATTTCCAGAGATTGTCATTTGGAGCATCTACCAAAATTAATATGGCCATATCCAGCCAAAATATAAGAGCTTTTTGGAAGTAGTGTATAACGTTACCTTGCTTATTAAAGTCAAGGTTAGGCAGCAAATTCACGCACCATGTTTGTTTAAAATAGTCGCCGGCATGTATATTGGAAACTATATGCATATATTGGAGTTAAATTTACCTCTCCCAACAAATTGTTTTATTCTAAGTACTTTTAATTTTCAACAAGTTATCTTGTGCTAACAAGTGTCCAAAGACATTTGTTAAAATTACCATATTAAATAATATATTCACTTCATTATCAAAATTTATCGTATTAACTATCAATTATTATATTCAATATATAATAATATCATTATAAATTATAATGTTCACAAATACTGTGAAGGAACTCTTAAATTACCAAGAAAAAAAAAATCCTTTTAGCTAAGCTAATGCATGTATGAAACGGTTGCTTCATGTCTTACCAGGTTTGGACAAAATTTACAAGGTAACCGAGATACCATAAGAAAGTTGTACTTGTCAAAAAATTTGGAAACAATTTTAGTTTCAAATAATCATAAGTAGAAGGCTCACCACATTGGACAATAAGTTTCATAATGGATTGGTTGGCTTTATCAGAAAATAAAGTAAACTCATGAACTTTAAATCTCGGGATATTGGAAGACTCGATTTTTCCCCTTAGACAAAGGTTTTGATACATGGGCGTACGACACCGATCACCCTCAACAAGTTCGACATTCTACGTGGGGCAAGCTTAGCCATAACTGGCACGAGGCATCAATTTTGTGCGTCTCTATCTCGAGGAGGTTGATAGTGCTGTAGCCAACCTTGGGCACAGGTCGTTCTTTGATTTTGAATTCTTCCTCCTCTCTTGCTCTTGACCCCTGACATGGTTGTTGGACAATTTGACAATAAATGCTCTAAAACTTCCTTAGTAGTAGCCATCTTTTTTTTAGAATATTATAGCATGTTTGGTTGGCGGAATGGAGAAACATTTATTCTTTTGTTTGGTTGTCACATGCTTCAAGGAATAACCATTCTTCCAAAAATCAGCTAAAACTAAGTAACGGCCCTCAACCCCTTAGTTGAGGAATAGTCTTAAAAAAATGATAAAATTCAAAATGTTCCTTACAAGTTTGGAAAATGACATATTATAAGATATAAAACATAATATTTTAAATTTAAAAATTAATTAAAATTATTAATTTTTTAATCCTAATAACATTTAAATTATAAATAAAATATTAATATTTTAAAATGTTAATGTTAAATTATAAATAAAAAATTTAATATTTAAATGATCAATTATTAATACTTTAAATCAATTATAAATTATTAATTTTTAACAAATAAATAAAAATAAATAATCATATATTATAATAAAAGGTATTTTTATCTTTTTATCTTCTCTTTTGATATTCCAACATTATTTTACCAACCAAACATTGCAATAAGTCATAATATCAATTCCTACGTTATTCCATTCTGTCAACTAAACTAAATAATGACATTTCTATTCATTTTTACCCTATTTAATTCTCACAAAATACCTATTTTATTCTATTCAACGAACCAAACGTGTCATTAGTGTTTCTATTGAGAGATTCTGCCATGGCCCTCAAGCTTTTTGAAAATATTAGAATATTTCATAAATATTTTCAATTAATCTATCAGTCTTAGATTACGAGACCTACTAGCTGAGCCACTCGAGCTGCACCTCTAATAAAGAGAGTCACTAGAAACATGAGCAATAGATGCTTCCATCTCAAGTATTTATGGATTCTTTCATGTGATTCATGTGTTTCTCTTTGTTGGCATTTTCAGTCTAGTCTCACCGAGTGTGACAAAAGTAAATGTTGTATCTTCTGCCACATTAATTCTTGGGATTTTTTAGAAATTTCTATGAAACTTATAAGGTTTGGAAGCAAATGGTTTGGTTGGGTTATGTGTTGTGCATCCACTGCTACTACCTCCATTCTTGTTAATGGCTTTCTGACTAGAGAAGTGTGTATGAAAAGAGGTTTACAACAAGGCTGCCCTCTTTCTCCCATGCTCTTCAACGTTGTGGTTGAAGTCTTCAGTGCCTTCATGTTTAAAGCTGTTGACTAGATGCTTATTAAGGGTGTGGATGTTGTGTCTTCGGACATTTGTGCATCCACTTTCAATATGCTGATGACATGGTAATTATCTGTGCACAAAATCTTTTTACGTCTTTAACACTATAAGGTTTCTTAAGGTTTTTGTTTCTTAAGTGATCTTTAGACTCAATTATTTTTGAAAAGTTTTCTCTACGGAGTGGGCATCGACCAACAAACATCATCTTAATGGGCTAACTTGATAGATTATAAACTTGGTAACTCTCTCTTCCACTTACCTCGGATTTCCTTTATGGGCTGTTTTGGGCTCTATCTCAATTGGCACCTTGTCATCTAGAAGATTGAAAGCGACTTGCTTCTTGGACAAAGAACTTTGTCCATTCTCAATTAAAATTTTACTATGTAAGTATACGTATCAAATAGATAATATATAAGCAAGCATAGTATCGATTTCACAAAGAATTGATTTAAAATTTTACTAAGTATTAAAATTAGAACAATTGAATCTTATCCAAACAATCAGCATCGACTAATAAAATTAAATAACTAAAAATACTTAATCCAAATTTAAACTAAGAAAAATCAAATAATAATAACTTGAGGAAATATCAAATCAAAGAAGCCTAGGATTACAATATCCCTCGCACTTTATCTCAATCTTACCTCTTCCTTAACTTATTTCAATGGGTTGAATTACTAACTTAGAGTATCAAATTATTTATAAGGATCTCTCGACTCATCTTATAAAAATTTCTATTTTAACCAAAATACTATATCCCTATATGAATTGAAATTAAAATAGATTTATTAAGTTCAGGTTCTAATCTGGCTATATATAGCCTATAGGTATATGCTTATCCTATATGCAAATCAATTAATATGATCATATGCTATCACAATTTTAGTTTACACTAAACTCCTTTTGCCAAGTTTGTTTAGGTTCCTAGATCAATTTAATTGGTGGCCAAGCAATTACAAGCATTAAGAACAAATTGGAATAAACAATTCAAATCCCATTAAAGATAAGTAAGAAAGAGATTAAAAATTTAGATTACATGTGAGTTCAATTGCAATCCTAGAAAAAAGAAAATTAGCTCCTCATGATTGTAAAGACAAATAACATTATAATAA